TCTTCTATAGAAGGCAGGCGGTTTGCAATGATCTTTTCTGCAGACTTAACTATCCATTGGAGTTTGAGTCTGTCCTGTTTGGTTGTAGAATCAAACCGGACCGTTATAGAGGAACAGAAAAAAGACTCAATGATTCCCTTGCAAAACTGTACCAAGAGCTCCTGGGATAATTTAAACTTCCTAAGTTGCCGCAGGAAGAACATCCTTTGCTCTGCCTTTTTAATGATGGCTGTAATGTTAAGCGTCCATTTCAGGTCTTGGGAAAGTATAGAGCCCAGGAACTTGAAGGACTCTCCCACTGATACTGGGCTGTCGAGTATGGTAAGGGGAGGAGTATTAGAAGGATTCTGCCTAAAGAAGAGGTGTGGACTTCAACTCCCAGAATTCCCCAGCCAGCATGCTGGCTGGGGAATTCTGGGAGTTGAACTCCACACCTCTTAAAGTTGCCAAGGTTGAAAAACAGTGTTCTAGCAGATGCCAGTGGTCCTCACAACTTCTTCTTCTTGCCTCTAGACTACATTTCTCAACCAAAACCAAGCCCACAATGCCAAGGGAAACCTCTGCCCTAACATTAAACTCAGAATCGTTGTTCTGATCAGAACTCAGATCAGAAACTCAGCCTGATCTAAAAAACAAAACCTCCCAAACCTCCAACCAGACATTCTTGGCCAAGGTCCCACTTCTGATATTCCGACCCTGGTTTAGATGTCCAGCTCCGGTTCTCATTCCAATTCGTTCCACGCAGAGGAAAAACGATTGCCCGGCGCTGTCAGCGTGTTTTGAAGAATATCCCACTCCAAGATAGGGCGGTTGCTTTTAAAAGGAAAATGGGGATGAAGAAACGAGAAGAGAGCGTCTTGATTCTTGAGTAGAGCTCGCAGAAGGGAGAAAAAGTCAGGAAGTCGGGGCCAAGATCTCCCGAGCCTTTAGGATCATTTCTGGAAACGCAAACCCAGTTTTGGGTAGCTTGATTGGACTCTTTATTCTGTAATATGATGCAATCAATATGCACCAATATAAGGATGTAACTTATTGCTTTATCAGGGGTTGATTTATCCTGGGACTGCATTGCTCTTAGTTAGAAGGACTTAATAAATAACGCTCCTGCTTCAATCCCTAGCAGCCTCATCACCAGCCCGTGCAAAGTTTGATGGCTGATTTGACGGAGTGGCAATTCCTTCTGATTATTCCTCGGTGATTGCACAAAAGCCCTTCCTTTTTTCCTTCCAGAATCCCAGGCCCGTAACGCTGCAAATCCTCTTCTTCTTGTTATCTTGTTTACTCAGCTGAGAAGCTCCTGACCCTTGAAATCTATTGCACTTTGCAGGAAAAGATATATCCCAGTCTGCAGAGGCGACTCTGCCCCAAGATTTGATGAATGGTTCGGACCATAAATCTCAGTTGCTACTGACCAAAACGGATTGCCAAGAAAAGAATGGGGGGAACCGAATTCTTTTGAGAAGATTGCCCTCTCGTGGTCTTCCTAACGCCTGGCTACCCCTGAAATGCCCTGTATTAGGAAGAAAAGGCTTAAAATTCAATTACGTACTGTGGGGAAGGGGAAGTTGGCGTGAAGATAGTCTTGGGCACTACACAGGAACAGCATCTCCAAATTTCTATGCTGTCTCTGGAAATGGAGGGGAGACATTTCCCCAGTGAATTAAGATCTCCCTGTTGTGTCCATTTCAAGTTCTAGTGACTTCATTGGAATGGATATTCATTTTCTTGGCTACCATACAGAAGCCATTTGTGTCTGCCTTCCTCCATGATCCTATCCTATCCTATCCTATCCTATCCTATCCTATCCTATCCTATCCTATCCTTTCCTTTCCTTTCCTTTCCTTTCCTTTCCTTTCCTTTCCTTTCCTTTCCTTTCCTTTCCGACTTTCAATCTGGTTTCCTGGCCTTGGAAGGGGCACCACCAGGAAAACTTGGTCTCCCATCCAAGCACTAACCAAGCTGCTGACCCTGCTTTGCCTTTTGAGATCTGCGAAGGTCAGCTAGGTGAAGCTACCAGGCTGGATAAGATCCAGTCCCCTTCAAGTTGAGTTCAAGTGGAGTCTGGAAACCAAAATTGAGGGGAGACGATTCTCCAGGGAAGTCACGTCTCCCTTGAGTCAAATTCAATTTCTGATAACTATATGGGCGCATCCAAGTTGTCTTCTCGTAACAATACAAAAGCAGTTTGCAACTGAGATTTTTTTTTTTAATTTCCAGCCTTGTTTAAAAATCAGGAGCAGCTTGGGAGCACTTTTTCGAACTCACAAATTTAAGGCTTCTACCTTTGAATCCAATCTGTGAGTCAAAAAAAACAGCTCCCAGGCTCCCCCAGATTTTTTCGCCACCCGAAGCTGAAATGGCTGTCCATCGACAGTCTCATCTTCAGTACTGAGTTTTTGTAAAGATCTCCTATCCCAGAATTAGCTTTTCAAGATTAGCCACGTTGGCCTAGCCAAGCCGAGATACATAATGTTCCCTAACAGCTGGGTATGAGTTCTCGGCCACACTTCCTGCACGCATTTTTAAAACACTTTATTTAACAAAAAAAACCACCGGGGGCTTACCTGGTGTCCGTAAACCGAGCCTCACTTTTCCACGAGAGTCTCACGGCGTTCCTGCACCCTGTCACCATCTCCCTTTGAAAAACGTCCACGGGGCGTCTTTTCTCACAAGCATCGTAGCCAGATGGAGGTTTCTTTTCTTCAGCTTGCCTTTCTAAGATCAGGGTGGCCAAAGGGTCATCTCCAGAACTGATGACATCTGGGGCTGTTTGGTCTTCCTGCTTTGCACACCGACTCGAGGGAGAGTGGGGTGGACCATTCTTACGGGCATCGAGGGAACAGTCGGCGCGGGCGGACAGGAGATCGGCCGACGGTCTGGGAATTACCGTCTTCTCGAAGGAATGATCTCCTGGAAGGACTGAAGGACTCTTATGGGTGCCTTCCCCACTGAATTGGGCTGGGCTGCAGATTCCAGACGGTCGTTTCAGATGCCTTCTTTTTAAGGAATCCTATAGAAGACACCAACGTTTAGTGTCCCATGGAAGGTTACCACCTTAAAGCAATCCCAAACACTTTCCAAACTGATGGACCCGTTCGACCCCTGATTGGGAGGACCCACGAATTCCGACGGGTCACCTCAGCCGCTGGGCGATCGCTTCATCCCTTGGTTGCGCTGGAGGAATTTTAAAATGATTTGCAGGTTTAGAACCAGGGGCTTCAACTGATGCCAGAACTGAGAAAATGAGATGGTTGAAGTGGGGTTCCCAGCGTGCTTTATGAACTCAGCTGCCGTGGTTTATCAAGCACGATCTATAGTTTGTGAATCCGGCCAATCAATTGTTGGGTTTAGGACCAAGAGGGAGTCAGGTTCATGTTCACCCTAACTCACAGGGGGATTGGGAGCCAGTCACTCTCCCTCAGCTCGTTGTTGTGGGCAAAACTAGAGAGAGCAGGCTACTTTCTGCTCACCCCACCAGATCTAGCAGAGAAGACATGCTCTGGGTCCCTTCTATCAAACAATGTCATCTTGCTGGATTCCTTGTTGGAATCTCCCCTGGAGATTCAGATAGCCCCAACCTTTTGCAAGACATTGAAGACCTGGTTGGTTCCCCAGAAATTTAGGTCAAGTGGGTAGATGGCTCTACTGTTATTGAGGTGGTGATTTTTTTGGATGAGTAGGATTATTGTTTATCCTTGGGCACCAAGGGCTTATATCTGATTTTCAAAGAGAGATTCTCAGCATCCCAGATGTCCAGGGAATTCTTTCCTTGTTTTATTTCGTTTTCCCATTTTTGGTAAAGACTATTTCAGATTGGGAAAAAACAACAAATGAAACAGGAAAGTCTGCATCTAGTGTCTTGGCCAGTGTTTCTCAACCTTGGCCAACTGATGAGTGTGGGGGGTCCACAAACAAGCAATTACAACCCGGGAATGGTAAAACTCCACAAACAAACTAGTGAGAGGGGAGTAGGACGGAGGAATG